TAAATGGTAAAATTATAAGTGTCTAAAAGCACAGCTCTAAAACTGTACATTCTGTGGAGAAAGGGCCACAAACACAGCAGCAGCAGCAGCAGGAGGACGGTGACTCTCCCCAAAAGCCTTCGCAGAACAGTGCATTCATAATTTCACACTCAGAGCCACATTATGGAACAGTTCGATCACTGGCATTTTGTGTCTTGGCAAAAAAGGTGCATCCAAAAAACAAGCTGGCGGCTGTGAATGGACAGGGCGTGCTGAGTCGACATGCACTCCTTCCTCCGCTGTCAGAGGCAGACTAATAACTTCACTGGAGGAAAAAACATTTTGCTGCAGTGGACCTAACTTGCAGCCTCATAGTGCTTCATTACACACATTACAGCGATGAAGAGGAGACACGTTATGAGGCCAGAGAGGAGCTGACCCAGCGGCGGAACATGGCCCTTAGGCACCGACTGTACACACCACTGCAACCAATACTCACTGCTACTGTAGAGTATAATGCAGGCAGGACAACACAATGCACAACGCCTGGTACATACAACTATTGTCAATAACAAAAACCAAACTATTCTAAGATTATGTGACACGATTGAAAGTACTTTTATTAATAGAGAAAGATCAAACTCATACCAATTAGGCTTTTCTGCAAAGACCACAGTATTAAACAGACAGTACTTCAGGCTGAGAATCAATGAAGAAGACAGTAATCAATAACACAATTACACTGTGCTGCTTTAGAGTCCAAAACAGAAAGTTACAGTTACAGTTACTTTTCTCTGCATTCACAGCTGTGCAGCAGGACTTCATCTACAGCCACACAAGTGGATCCTCTGACCCCAAGGCTATAGATGCCATGATGAATGGATGCTGTTGGTGTGTCCTTGGGCAAAGCACCTGGATTGTACTATTTACTTTTACTAATGATTTAAATTCGAAGTGCCTCCTTGTGATTGGCTGACATAGTTATACGGTGAGTCAGAGGCGTTTCACTACGGCTGTAAATGATATATGGTTGCTTTTGAATGCGCTGGAAACGGCAGCATGGTCCTAAGTAGCTCTGAAACTTGTAGCTGCAGTTCAGTGTTCATGGTTTTACACTGGTCCAGACCAGAGCAGAGAGGATTCATGGTTTTACACTGGTCCAGACCAGAGCAGAGAGGATTCATGGTTTTACACTGGTCCAGACCAGAGCAGAGAGGATTCATGGTTTTACACTGGTCCAGACCAGAGCAGAGAGGATTCATGGTCCGAACAGGATGTGAACTGGATCAGGTGAAAATCCACTGGAGGAATGCTAACTTTTTGAAAAACACCATTCAGCATTTTACTTTGGACTAAAGCAGAGAAAATGGTCCGAACAAAGAGGCTACTCCACCTCTGCTGCTGTGACCCGTCCTGCTCCACCCAGAGGCTACTCCACCTCTGCTGCTGTGACCCGTCCTGCTCCACCCAGAAGCTACTCCACCTCTGCTGCTGTGACCCATCCTGCTCCACCCAGAGGCTACTCCACCTCTGCTGCTGTGACCTGTCCTGCTCCACCCAGAGGCTACTCCACCTCTGCTGCTGTGACCTGAAGGGCTGTTGCTGATTATTACTATTTTTAGCTTTTTAGAATGATCAATTTTATCTTTTCTTTTTGCTGCTACTGGACACCTGAATTTCTCCTACAGGGGATCAATAAAGGATCTATCTATCTATCTATCAGAAAAGCTGGAAAATTATAGAAAGCAACCTCTGAATAACAAATGGCCAGGACTCCCTTGAAAAAGAGGTTCGTAATCTCAATGGGATTTTTCCTGGTTAAATAAAGGTTAAAGAGCGACTAAACACCTGTGCCCAGCCTGACTCCGCCCACATGAAGATTTGAAAATGTTCTCTTAAAAGGGCGTTGCCTGGAGGACCAAGGGACAAGAAGGGGGGCTTAGAGTTGGGCGTGGTCTGTGCTGTGATTGACAGCTCACTTGTCACACAAAAAAAACAGACAGTTATCATTGCTGCTTAAAGCAATAGTTTACAGACCAGAAAGTCTCATTCCACCCTTGTTTACACACTAAGATAATTGTAAAGCTACACACCTGAACCTAATCACACTCAATAATCTCAGAATCACTCATGTAATTTAATTTGAATCCACTAGATGGCGCCAGAATACTCCAAACTGCAGCTGGGGCGTGTGTGAGAGTTGAATGGGTTCACATCACTGGCTCTGACAGACTGACGTCACACAAAACAACTGATGTCATAGAGAACTTCAGAGTCAATGGAGAGGCCAGGACCAAATTCAAATGTAGTACCACCAAAAAGGTTGAGAGGGCGCCACACAGCGTTTTTTGGCTCAAAAGTGATATTTTATCTAATTTTAACTAAAATGTCAAAAAAATGACTAGGATATGTAGACAGCACTACAATAAACATATTTATGGAGTTTATGAGTTGAAAAAAGTTGATTTGGCGTTTAGTCGCTCTTTAAATACAAAAATGAAAAAAAAAAATGTAGATATATCTCTCTGCATTGCCTCCTGTGTAGATTTCACATGCTGAAGGGTAAGTTGCAATACCATACTGTATACAGCAACATTGGAAACTGTCAAAATATATCTGTATTGAGACAGAAAATCAACATTGCTGAAGTTGGCTGTTTGGGCTGCACTGTTGCATGTTGCCTGGTTTGCCCTCGTGCAGCCGGAGACTGTGACCATCTGAAGATAACAAACCACATCCTCCATCTGCCGCTCACCACAGACCGCACCGTTTACTCCATGGTTTTCATTCTGTCATCGTTACTTTATGTTATGTCACGTTTTTAGGACACATTTATTTGTGTTTCCTCGAAGGGGGTCGCCCATGTAGCATCACTGTGTTTATACAGTTACTTAGCAACAATAGCATAGCAACAACTTCCTTATGTGCACCTGACACACATCCTCTCTGAATGAATGAATCATAATAAACAATGGTGAGGCCAGATTTACTGAGCCTGGCATAAAGTAGGACCACCAGGCTTCATGTGCAGGTCATTCTTAACAGGGAAGTTAATGTTAATAATCATAATAATAAGAACTTGCATTTATAAAGTGCTACTGACTCATAGAAGTCTCTCAAACCGCGACACTTAAGTCACGATTCGTTCACTCCATGCTCGGTCACAGAAGCGCAGGCCCAGTCTCTGCTATGGGCCCAGTCCGTGGTATCGGCCCAGTCTCTGCTGTCGGCCCAGTCTCTGGTATCGGCCCAGTCTCTGCTGTCGGCCCAGTCTGTGGTATCGGCCCAGTCTCTGCTGTCGGCCCAGTCCGTGATATCGGCCCAGTCTCTGCTGTCGGCCCAGTCCGTGGTATGGTCCCAGTCTCTGCTGTCGGCCCAGTCCGTGATATCGGCCCAGTCTCTGCTGTCGGCCCAGTCCGTGGTATCGGTCCCAGTCTCTGCTGTCGGCCCAGTCCGTGGTATGGTCCCAGTCTCTGCTGTCGGCCCAGTCCGTGATTTCGGCCCAGTCTCTGCTGTCGGCCCAGTCCGTGGTATGGTCCCAGTCTCTGCTGTCGGCCCAGTCCGTGATATCGGCCCAGTCCGTGGTATGGGCCCAGTCTCTGCTGTCGGCCCAGTCCGTGGTATGGTCCCAGTCTGTGCTATCGCCCCAGTCTGTGATATCGGCCCAGTCTCTGCTGTCGGCCCAGTCCGTGGTATGGTCCCAGTCCGTGATATCGGCCCAGTCTGTGGTTTGGGCCCAGTCTGTGTTATGGGCTGCTCTGACCACACTGACCACGTACTGCTGCATGTTTTGGATGATGGTAAATGTGAAGAAACATCCAGACACCACAGAAAGGTCACACTCAGCCACCGTGCCATAAAGAAACACATGATTTGCGTAGTTGTGAAGCAGATCTGAATGGACCAGGTCTAGATTTTCATACAGCGATAATTAAGAGGTTGAGAACGATTTCAGTGAGAAATCTATTTCCAATGAAAGTAGTTTTTTCATTTGGACAGAGCCGCTACAGTTCCTTCAGTGTCACTCACCTATATACAAAGAGGAGTCCTTCTTGTGGACGTGGTCATCGATGTACGACACTCCCAAAGGCTGCACAGGCGTGGCCCCGATGCCCAGCAGGACCTGCGCCCCGATCAGCAGTAGGTACATCATGTTGGTGTTGGCTCGGTTGCCACAGTTGAAGCCAGAGTCTCTGTTCTCTGACCTGGTCCTGTTCGAGCACACATCTCTGCCGTCTTCAGCGTGCCAGGAGTCTCCGGCCTCATACACATACTGATGAGTCAGGAACTCTGGTAGAGCTGACAGCAAAGCCCCGAGTGCCATCACAATACCCCCACAGCCAATGAGGCGTGGACGGTGGGCTTTGGCGCCAAAGTAACTCACAAATAGGATCAGGGCCAGGTTGCCAATCTCAAAGCTGCTTGCAATGACGCCGACATCAGCACTCTGCAGATTGAACCGTCTTTCCAAAGTTGTTAACACACTCACCTGGTGAAGAGAGAAAAGAACCACTAAATATCCACATCACATAAACCATTAGGTCACTACAGACAGTTTATAAACCATTAGGTCACTACAGACAGTTTATAAACCATTAGGTCACTACAGACAGTTTATAACTCAGGATTCACTGGTGACAGGGATGACAAGCACAATGCTCTGGAGTTTACTTCATTTCACACATCTTCCCTGTGCCAAGAGCTTCCTACAGGAACTCACAGAGAGCTCAGGACTATTATAGCAAACTATTTGAATGATCTTGACATTATATTGAAAGGCCTCTCGTCACTTTGCTAATAAATAGTTTTTATTCTGATCCAGGCCGGTCATGATGAAACCTGACACATGCTCCATCATTAGACAGAGGGTGAACTCTGTGCCCATCATTGGCCTGTAATGACAAGCAGAGCTTATGCACTCAGTGCTAGTGTTGAAGCTCCTCCTTAAAGGCCCTAGATTAGTGTAGATGGCGGAGCAGGACGGATGGGTCCTGGCGGTCAGTGTTTCGTAACCTGTTCACCATCTACACTGGATGGAGCCGTCACAGACGCGACACGCTCCGTGTCGTTCAAATGGTGCATAGGCCCAATTACGGATAATACGCATCAAGGCCAGTCACAATATGGTGCCTCCTCTGGTCCATGTGATGCCGGACCATTAAACCCTAGCCCATTATAGATAATAATGTCACTGGAGGAGCACGTTGCCTCTGCATGCGCCGGCGTCAGTCCTGTCACGGGTTAAACGGTCACATAATCATCTCACCAGATACGCGCCGACGGTGCCTTGTGCCAGCATGAGCGCGCACTCCGACACCAGAAAGATCTTGATGTTGGAGAAACAAGAGGTCTTCTTGTCGCTGTCATCTTGTTCTGTGTCGTCCGTGCTGCTTCGCTCGGTGCAAATCTGGTTTTTCACCTGCATCCTGTGGCTCAGGCCGCGGGCGGCGCGGACAGCGTGAGAAGAAACGGGTCCAGACCGGAGGAGACCATCTGGTTCGGATGACGAGGCGCACTGCAAATATGTGAGAAGCCTGTGTCGGCTGGATGCTTAGGGTAGAGCACTGGTCCCTCACCGCGCCATCACAGAGAGCAGGCCGCGCACACGTCCGTGACACACGCACACGTACAACACTGTCCTAACACGACATCCGGGAAGCGTCTCTTTTTATGAGCGGGTATTTTGACCGGTACCGAGCCGCATTCTGTCCTAAAGACACGAGACTCCTCCTCCGCTGACGCGCGCTCCCTGCTGCACTACAGCCGCCATCCAGAGACGCGCGCATGCGCAGCAGCGTCTGAGCAGAGGATGCGGTCAGCCTCATGTCAGAACCATAGGCTTTGTTCCAAAGGGTCTGAGCAGCTCCAGACACAGGACTACAGCCCAGACCCGTCTCATGGTCCTTGGAGACCAGTGACAACTGTGACCCATTCACTCTCTCACATGTTTGTTTATCAGCCTGTGTTGTTCTAATTGTTTTCACATAAAAGCACACACATTTAAGGAGCACAGGGCTGAGGAGCAAAGGGAATTGTGGTTGTGTCATTTATAATCAACCAAAGCCACGGCCTGGACCTGAACTGAGCCGATGCAAAAACAGAGCAATGCACAAAGTGCAGACTCAGCACTTCTTGTGTGTTGGAATTTAAATGATTTAAAATGAAGATGTTTCAGTTCTATCATCAGCTAACGACACTGTGTGCATTTTCTTATCCGAGTGACTTAAACTCGTTTCGAGCAAAAAGCAGCAGTGATAGAATTTATGTTCCATCTTCAGTCGGTGTTGGAAGATCTGCTCCTCAATGCAAAGTGTTCGACACTAGAGGGCAGCACAGCCTCAACTACACAGACCTCCACCAGCGGCCTGTGTGCGCGTGCGTGTGTGTGTGTACGTATATATGCGTGTGAGTGTGTGTGTATGCGTCTGTTTGTGTGTGTGTGTGTGTGTGTGTGTGTAGGTGACTGTGTGTGTGCATGTGATATTTAATTTTGATATAAAGAACTACCAAACTACAAAAGAATGTGACGTCACGTATGTGATTTCTGCTCTAAGTGGCAGACTGTTGTTCTCTCTGTGTAGACTTCTGCTCTGACTGTTGTTCTCTCTGTGTAGACTTCTGCTCTGACTGTTGTTCTCTCTGTGTAGACTTCTCTGACTGTTGTTCTCTCTGTGTAGACTTCTGCTCTGACTGTTGTTCTCTCTGTGTAGACTTCTGCTCTGACTGTTGTTCTCTCTGTGTAGACTTCTCTGACTGTTGTTCTCTCTGTGTAGACTTCTGCTCTGACTGTTGTTCTCTCTGTGTAGACTTCTCTGACTGTTGTTCTCTCTGTGTAGACTTCTACTCTGAACATAAGATAAGGTTAACGTGCTTTATGCCTGAGCAGCTGGAGGAGGAAATGAGATCCTCCCTTCTGCACATAACTCTAAATACCTTGAGGTTGAAACTCAGACATACGAGGGATGATTTATTTACTGAAAATAACAAAAATGATGCATATCTTTTTAATGGCAAGTTTTTGTTGCTTGAATGTAGTTTGTCAGAAGATTATTTTACTAGTTTTACGATAATAATATTTCATAATCTCAGAGAAAAAGTCTGAGGAGTGAGTTTTTAAGTTTGTTTTAAGTATTTTTTCCAGACTTTTGTTTAGATAAAATAAGTTTGTGATGCCATAGTTTAAGAAAACCTTTCACAAAAATGTTTTAGAAATAAGTAGATAATTCTAGAATCAAGTCGTTTGGGGCTAGTTTTATTTTCTTATTTTAAGAAATCTTATTATTATTTTAAGCAGTATTTTACTTATTTTCATATATTTTTTCAAGGCATTATCCCAGTGTGTCTGCAGTAACAACTGTAACTGTCCACCGCTGGTTTGTTATAATGTAATACATATATTGATGGATTGATTTACGTTCATATAAGTATTTACAGTATTAACATTTCTTGAGCGTCTCTACATGTTGCCTTCAAACCCACACATGCAAATATAGAAACATAAACATACAAACAAGCAACAATATTGGCCCTAGTCTCACCATGGGCTGTGTATTAACAAATGCATTTCTATATTTACAATCTGTCAGTTTTAAATGCAGTGGGAAAGAAGTTGTCATCCATCCTCATCACAAACACAGACTTTTAATTTGGAAAGACTCAATAATTGTTCAGGTTACATTTGACCTAGCCTGGTGTTAGCATCCGTAAACTCTGGAGTGGAGACTGAGGTATTTACAGATTATTATTTTCAGATTGATAGTGACGGGCTGTGGAGACGGAGGCTGGCAGAGGCTGGCAGAGGCTGGCAGAGGCAGCATAAAAGCCATGGGAAAAATTGAGGAGACAAAAGTTGAAAAAAACAGAAAAAAATGTGAGTAATCCAAAAATTGACGCAGAGACAAAAGCACTTCCGAACCAGACGGATGTATCTGGCGATGAACTGCAGTCTACGCTGAGCTGAAGAGCCCAGGTGATGACACTGAGACGAGCTGCAGGAGTGCTCAGCTGCCACAGAACCAGCCGCGAACCCATCACCATCAGCACTGCCTGAAGCACAGACACAGGGGGAGGGCGCAGAACACAAAACAAATCCTAAGCCTCACAAGTCTACGTTTGACCCCTTTTCAAACTATGTATTTTTGTGATCGGGCGACAGTGGCTCAGTTGGTAGAGCAGTGGCCTTTGAGCCTGAAGGTTGTGGGTTTGAGTCCACCATGAGACCTTCTCCACTGACTCCCACTGATTTCTGCTGTTGATGTGTCCTTGGGCAAGACACTTTGCCTGAAGCCCCCGCTGAAAGATCAAGGCTCCTGTGTCGCCACCTGCAGGAGGATCAGTGAATTCCCCCGACCCAGAAATGGACAAAGGGGAAAAAAAATAATTGGTTTTGTCTTTTGTGTGCATAGCTTTGAATTATATAATTATTATGCTTTACTATACTTTTGCTACGATCAAATATTCTTCAGCTCAGTTTACAAAGTTATAGCGAGACCTTTTTTAGTTCTGCGCCACATGGTACTTTACCAGTGAGATTAGCTCCACATGGTACTTTACCAGTGAGATTAGCTCCACGCGGTGAGTTCTGGCGCCCGGATCACAGACTTTCTGATTGGTGAAACGGTGGAGGGCGGGACATCAAAATGAAAACAATAACAAGATTTAGAGGCTGGAAAAGTAATTTAGAAATTCAAATATCTCTGAACTATTGTTATCAGTTAAAGAAGTATTGGAAAAGAGCAGGTTTTATTAATGCCTTTTGACAGATTAGGGCCCTTTAATGATGGCAGATTAGGGCCCTTTAATGATGACAGAGAAGGGCCCTTTAATTATGACAGATTAGGGCCCTTTAATTATGACAGATTAGGGCCCTTTAATTATGATTTGACATGAAAATCTTACACACCATATTCACTTCAGTTTAAGTTTTGTAACCCTTCTTCATCGGGGCCAACACACACAAAAAACGACACTTTGATGGATTTTGATTTGCTTGTAGCGCGCTACTGAAGAAACCGTATGAAACCACACATCTGTCATTTACATGTGAATAAGATGCAGAGCAGAAAAGCCAATGAAAGCTGCAGAGTCTGTCCCAAAACAGACCACAGTATAATGGCATTCATACATCCTGCTCATCTGGAAATCCATGTCCACGTCGTCGTCACAGGAGGATTTGAGATGAGGATTTTTATCTCTGCTGTTCAGCCTCTTTGATGGAAAAGCATTTGGTAGTGACTGTGGTCTATCTCGACACTTTATCAGGGAGTTATGCGACAAATTACATTATGTAGATAAGGATGCAACAGAGGAGACAACACTCACCTCTGCATTGTTTTGGATTTAAAGTTATGCCAGATGGGATTCTTTGAGTTTCAAAAAGCAATTTTCTATAATTAACATAGTCGGAATTGGATTACTGCAATTCCGTCATCGTGTGTGGAGAGAATGCAAAAATATGGGATTTCTCAACTATTGTGCAGCGCTTATGGTGATCTTGGTCTGTCAAATGCGCTATATGCATAAAGAGGACTTAGCTACTTCCTTATATACTTATGTGTGGTTATACCGGAGCTCTCTGCGGTGCACACGGACCATGTGAATGTGGTGGCTACTTAGTAAATGGGAGCACATTATGGCAGCTTCGTGCAACCTCATTTTGTTTTGAGTATAATACAAAATGCTGTTGATAGTCCATAAATGTCAGCACTCTCTGGACCCATCCTTTTTCTCCTGCCCACAGCCGAGCTCAAGGCCAGGGGTGAAAGAGCGTCTCTGCGGCAGACCTCCAGCCAGATCCACTCACTTTATACAAGGCTACATTTAAAGCTGAGTAACGTAACTTTGGTGTTTCATTACATTCAATGTGTTTGTCTCAACGGAAAGTCTGGATTCAGTAGCATTTTGTGAACGGATGAGACCACACCAGTCTGTTTCTATCTTATATTTGACCTACTGAGAGCTGATTGGCTGAGTGTGGGTGGTGCCCTTGACTGTTTCTGTCTGAAAAAGCAGATCTAAAGATGTGACAGAAGCCAAAAGTGCACATATGAAGATTAGTGATAGAATCAAACTGTTTCGAAAGCGAGGAATTAGTTACAGTAATTTCCGAACAATAAGCCGCTACTTTAAAAAAAATGTCTTTGATCCATGCAGCTTATGTAGCGATGTGGCTTATATCCATGGATCTATAATAAAAACTGGTTAGGGTATTACTGGCTTACAGCTGTCCCACCCACGGCCACAGGGGGCGCTGTGGTACTGCAGACTAAAATCACGTGGGCTACACAGAAAAAAGTCCCATAGAACTCAATGTAAATTAAAACAGCTCGACCTCAGCTGACAGAGAACCTGACAGAGAACCTGACAGAGAACCTACAGCTTTCATAAAGGTCGGATTTTGTTTTGATTTTAGTGTCCCTTGTCATCCTTTTTTTCTTCTTAAATCCTTCTGTTTTCTTTAAATTCACACTTTAGTGCCACAAACTCTACTATGGAAGATTTTTTGTGTCGTCAGATTTTGAATTTTTTTTAGCTTGAATTCTTCAGTTTGAAATTTTTAACCCTGAAAAAGCAAGTTTGAATATTTTTATCTTTACATTTCAGTCACTAAAAATTCAGTTTACAAATTTCAATGTGATTAAAATTTCAAAATGACATATTCACCCTCAAAATATTCCCAAAAAAATTTTCAATGAAAAAAAAAAGACGGATTATTTGTTCCATCAGAAATTGAATTTTAAATGGACCTGAATTCATCTATTTGAATGTTGTTAACATCTTGAATATTTTTTTCTGTGAATTTCAGTCACTGATTATCAATTTCATA